TATTCTGTTTATTCTAAAATGATATTTTTACTTCTTAGTTTAGTACAATCAATGAATGTAAATAATTATAATTATCTTGCAAATGATCGGAAAGATCAAGAAGATGAACTATGCGAAGTCGACCGTGCTACAAAATCTGGTGCTCTTGTGAGACCACCTCCAGCCGCTCCATACTGCACATGAATTCCTGGAAATGGTTCAATCCAAGAAATCTGTCCATAACGGCAGACTTGTCGATTGCAACCATGAACAAGGAGTGGTTCAATTCGACATGATTCACCTAATATGTTTCGTATTGCAGATACTAGACCTACAGCAATCGTTCCGTCATAGTTGGCAGTACTTTCATCGGAAACATTTGGTGTAATACAGGCGCCAGCGGTGAATCGCATCAAATACAAATTGTAAAGCTTTCCCTGCGAATCTTTCACTTGCACAGGATTTTCTGATAATTTTGTCGCATCATTTGTTTCACCACTAACTAAAACAGGAGGTAGTCGATATTCCAAGGGTACGTAGACATGTGCCAATATTGATACTCCTCGAGCAGCAACAACATCAAACAAAGGTCTATTATTTGTGCTAAGGATTGGCTGGTTACCCAGCGATAGAATTAAGCGAGAAAACGGAAGATGATGTTTTTGACCATCAGGTGTGTTATATTCAGCGATACCTCCTGATTGCTGATCGTCCACATAAATTGTAGTGAGTGTTCCATCAATAAATTTGCCACCTTGATTTTGAATAGAATCCTTGAGTATCTTCATAAAGTTCGAGAATATGACTCTATCATGTTGTTTTTCGCCAAACATCACGCCATTGGGAACAAAACCATAACGTTGAAGCATTTCTTCCCTGGATAAAATCCTGAAAGCTCTTCCTTCGTTTTCTAAAGCTGTTTTCAATGCTTGCAGTCCTGAAATTTCTTCACTAGTTTGGGCAACCCAAATCGACCCTTTTTCAGGTACAAGAAGTTTGCCATCCAATTCCTGATTTAAACATTCAAAAAACTTCTCATTTGCAATACATTGTGCGGCGACTTTTTTCAACATTGCTGTTCGATCTTCAAACATAGTAAAAAATTGATAGGCTAATATTATTTTAAAGCCAACAAGCCAATGATCAGGATGTCGTAGCCAACCGACGTAGTCCAATGTTCTCCATGGGAAGTGACCGGTTTGCTGAATCGATGCATAACTAACGTATCGAAATGTGGCACGAATGAGTTGTTCGACTAGGAATTTCGTAGGTCGATAAGTAGTGGGTGCTTCTGATTCCGCATCTTGTTCTAAATGCCAAGCAGAACCGAAAGCGATCGGTATTCGTCGTTCATCATTGATATAAGTTAAATCTTTTTCAGTTTTCACCATAGAGATACCAGTGACTAATGCTGGTGGACCGCCAACAATCAATGTTTTCTGATTAAAAAGGGATGATGGAAATGGTATAGGACATTCTGTAAGTGGTCGAATCTTGACAGGGGTTTTTAAAGCATATTTTTGCTTCAGAATATCACGATCCGTATGAAATAAATGGGAGAATTGTGAAAAATGCTTCTGAAATAGTTCTAGTTCATGTAAATCGGTAGTAATAAATGGATCATGCATCCCGGAAAAAATATGTCTTGTTTTTTGTTGATGTGTATGATTTGAAAACGCATCATGCACTTGAATATGATCATTATACCGCAGTGTAGTATTGATGATAGTCACAGTTGTGACACCGAATATACCCAAATAACCAAGGGATCGACGCCATGTTTGACGGATACGATGAAAACTTGACATGATCTTGTTTTGTTTAAACTATTTAAAAAGAAGAAAAATTCGATAGAAATAATCCTAAGATCTTTCATGGTGTCGAGAAGAGATGTTGCTAATTCTGTGAGATTGAATACAATACTATATAGCTTAATAAATCTTTGGTAAACTTTTGACTTACTTTTATATCTTGGGAAAAGAATGTATCTCTTTCGCATCAAATCAACTGTCTGTGTCTAGTAAAATGGTTTCGAACTGAACAACGTTCTATTCAATATGTTCTCATTTTTCAAAATAGTTCGCTCTTGATAAAAGGAATGGCTCTTCTTATCTCAAAAAAAGAAATTGAAAAATAAGGTAATACTAACTGCGCGTGCTTTATCTCTAAAGATAGTCGACGATGTTTTAAACACAAGTGGAGAGAATGTTATTGCTTAATACTTTTGTGGATTTTTTTCCTTTCCTTCATGGTCATGCTGGTAAAAAAACGTGCCTAACGTTGACACGACCTCAACGAGATGGAGGCCAGTCCGTATGTAAGCATTAACAAATAATAATGAACGCTTGAAAATTGCCGCAGCACTGAATAAAACTTTTTTCACTTTCTGATGATTTTTATCACGAATTTGTGTCTCTTTAGATGTCAGAGATACTGTCACAGTGTTGAAGACAGATAACTGCTCCGTTGACGATGTGGATAGGAGAGAGTGAGTAATATTCTGAACAAAGTAGGCACATATCTATTCTATAAAAGAAAATATTCGATAGCATGTAGTTGACTCTTGAATCTTCTGTATAAATTATAGTTTGTCGAATTCTGTAATCATATCTTTCATAATATTTAGCATCTGAAGATTTTAGAACTATAGAGAATAGGTCAGGTGCAGACAATTCAAACTTCAAGTAAAATTTTTTTTTTCGCGTTTTTTTTACGTCGTTTGATAGAGCGTGATCTACTGATCATGAAAATCGACTTTTTAGCCTCAGCAAATATTTCCTTCCAGTCCAAAAATACGAAATACTCGAAGGATGTCATTTTTCGAGAAAAACACATCTTTTTCAAAATGTGCAAAACTTTTCAC